AGGAAGGGTTCTCAACATTTTTGTTGGGTCCTGGGAACTCAAGGTCATTGGTCCGAGCCCAGGCAACAAGGCGAATGTCCCGTCCAGACCGGGGGGCAGGACGCTGTAGAATGTTCCAAATTTAAATGTTACCCGAGTCTGGCTGGCAGAGACATGGGCTTTCATAGCCTCCACCTGGGGGCTCCATCCTGTGTCCTTGGACTCTGTCCCCTGAAAAGCGGAGATTCCATGCCTGGATGCGGGAGACCTGGGGCAAAGCCTGGCCCTCCCCCGGCGCAGGTCTGGCGGGTCCAGGCCCTTTCTGGGCTGTATAGGATGCGCTCGTGCAACCAAGTCACAATTTCTTAATGCGGTCTCCGGACGGTGGCCATATGAGTTGTGTCTAGATTGTGCTATGGCCAACAGCGCTGCGAATAACATTCTGGGTCCTGCCCCCAAGGCGTGTGCACAGGAGTCTGAGGGCCTGCAGCACCGGCCTTGCAGGCAGCCGCCCAAGCCCAGGCCCTCCAGGCTCACCCAGGGCTCTGAGGCCTCATCTGCACCCTAACAAGGTTCCCCAAGGGCCTCGCACGCGCACCGAGGCTCCGGGAGCCCTGCTCGGCGCCTGCCAGCACAAGCACAGCCTGCGCCTCCCCACACGCCGTGGGCACCGCCAGCAAGCGGGCTCCCGCTGCGCGGTCCTCAGCAACTCTTGGCATCGTCACACTCCTTATTTTTTTCCAATCTAGCACATACAAAATGGCCCTGTAGTATCCTTCACTCAATATATTTTGTCTGATTCACTTCTTAAAATTTAGCCTTCTCTCAAGCTATAATATTCATGGAATCACGTTTGATGCTAGATGCATATTTTTTCTAACGCATGTAAAGAGAAACGCTAACTATGCAAATGCTTCTCTTTGTGCCGCTGGAAATCACAGCCCACACACCACACTTTGGAGCCGGTGGGCTCCACACCTGCTGGGGTTGCTCTCCCCTCTCTGGGGCCCTCCGTCATGCCCAGGAGAGCCCTGACCAAAGGCAGAGCGGATGGGCTGGGGACACACCAGAGGGATCTGTCAGGGTCTGGCCTCGCGGCTCTGCCCCAGTGTGGCTGAGCGGGCGGCAGGTGCCCCAAGGACAGCAGTGTTCATACTTGAGCCGGCCGAGCCCAGCAGCCGGGCTCTCCACGGAATTGGCTGATGGAGCGCCGAGTGGCGGGGGTGGCACGGTGGGTCTCAGCTGGCCTGCAGCAGCTAGGGGGCCGTTGGAGTGGAAGCTCATGACCCGGCCTCCCCAGCACAGCCTGGGCTGCCCTGGGCTGTCAGCGCCTGTCAAGAGGAGCCACTTTGGGGAAGAGAGAGGGCGAGGGCTTCCAGGGCCCTTCCAGCGAGCAACTCCCCCTCCTTTTGGTGCCCTGGGGCACGATGCCCCGCCAGGCCAGCCCCCAGGGCACCTTGCCCGCCAGGCCAGCCCTTCCGTTAGGGGCTGAGGAGCATGGTCACTGTACTCCCCAGCCCAGCCCACCCCACCCAGAGCCCTCGCCCGGCTGGAGATGGCCTGGGCACCACCAGGGGGGACAACTTGAGCAAGGGCTTCAGCCCTGCTGCTTGTTGGCCGAGTGACAGGTCTCTAGCAAGCAGCTCAAGTAGCTGAGACTGTTTCTCCACCAAAAAACAGGACCAGGAACACCTATGTCCCCGAGCCACTGGAGGAGTGCATGAGGCCACACCCAAGTGCGCAGCGCCGGCCGGGCCCGCTGAAGCAGAGGTCTATCTGGGAGGTGACCCGCGCCTGGGCAGCACTGTCGGGAGATTGGGGCCGCAAGGCAGGGAGGGGAGTGGTCAGTGAAAGGAGTGTCCTCGAGCCAGGAACCACTGGGGACAACGGGGCACTCCCCACGGGGCCTGACAGAGGCAGAGTGGAGCGCGCCCTCCGCCGCCCCACCCAGGCCGGGGCGTTTGTTCACCCCCGCCGTGGGCATCGGTCGAGGGCTGCTTGGGGGGAGAAACCCCCAGCACTTGAGCCTGCCGCGCTCTCAGCCTGGGAGAGCCCGCAGGCCAGAGCCACAGGCGCTGAGAGCTCAGCAGGGTGAGTGCCAGGGCACAGGTAAGGCACAGGTGAGCTCTGGATCCAGGCAGGTCTGGGGCTAGCTCCTGACACTTCCTGGCTGGTGACACGGGTCAGTGACTGACCTCCTCCATGTGGTTTCTTCTAGAAAATGAGTGATTGCCTCGTTGAGCAGTTGTGAAGATGCTTAGCACGGGGCAGGCTCATGGAAAGTGTGCCATATGCGTGCATTATTGTCAACACGTTGTGCTTGTATGAGCGCCCTGCAAACCTTTGTTAGGCACCAGCTGCAGTCCTCGACACCTGCAAGGAGGGGCTGGAGACCAGTGGGGAAAATGCACCCCAGGTGCAGAGCCTCTGATTTCAGCACCAGGGCGCTGGGCCAGGAGACGACTGGCAGAGCCTGTCCTGGCCCACCAGCCCTGGGCAGCTCCCCTCCAGCATGGCCCCCACTGTGTCCCTGCCAGCTTCTTGGAAAGCAGGCAGTCCAGGGGAGCAGTGGGTCCTCGGAGAAGCCCACCCGGGGACCAGGCATCATGGCTGTGGGGAGTTCGTTTCGTAGGGCCCAGAGGCAGAATGGAGCCAATGAGACCTGGGCCTAGGAGGTGGTTGGCACTCGATTCCCAGAGGGGGAAGGAGCTTTGCTGGTGTCACACAGGGAGAGGCAGGAGGTAGGACAGAAACCAGGCCCTGCCAACACCATGTTCGTGTTCCTGCGCTGGCCTGGCTGTGCTTGCTCTGGGGCACTCTTGCTCACTGGTGACAGTGTAGCACCACACTGGGAGGCCTCTGGCAAACAGAGCGGCCCAGAGCTGTGGATGGCCCCAGCCGGCTCGGCTTTGCTCAGAAAACAGAAGCAGCAGCACAGCCTCATGCTCATGCCTGGCCGTTTGGGATGTTAGCCAGCATTGGATCAACAGCCAAGGCACACATTTCTGTTCAGAGAGAGATCTGTCACAGCTCATTCATTTATTTCTTGATTGAACATTAAATGGGAGCACCTACCATGTGTCTGGGCTGGGCCTGCTTGGCTGTTCCATCACCTCCAGGCCTCTGCCTCAATGGTCCTTGCATGTGAATAGTGCCTCCACCTGCCTTGATCACTCTCTGAAAATGGCCCTCAAACGATGTCCACGTCCTAATCCTGGAACCCTTGAAGGTTTCTGCTATGGTTTGAATGTATACTCCATATTTCATGTGTTGGAAACTTAATCACCAAATTCCTATGTTGATTGGAAGTGGGGCCTTTGGGACGTAATGAGGATTAGATAAGGTCATCACAGTGGGGGCCCCATGCTGGGAGTGGTGGCTTTGTAAGAAGAGGAAGAGAGACCTGAGCTGACAGGCTTCTGTTCTCTTGCCATGTGATGCCCTGTGCCATGTCATGACGCAGCCCAAAGGCCCTTGCCAGACGCCGGTGCCATGCTCTTGGACTTCCCAGCCTTCAGAACCATGAGCCAAATAAACTTCTATTATTTATAAGTTACCCAGTTAAGAGAGAAAATTGGTACCAAGACGTAGGGCCAATAATGAATACCTGAAAATGTGGAAGCAGCTCTGGAACTGGGTAATGGGTAGAACTACCCTGATGGGCTGGAAGAATTTGGAGGAACAGGTGAGAAGAAGCCCGAGTCGCCGTAAATGGAACAATGAGGGCAATTCTGGCGAGGGCTCAGGAAACAAGAAGACTAGGAAAAGTCTGGAGCTTCTTAAATTCTTAGAGTATTTAAGTGGTTGTGAGCAGAATGCCAATAGAAATATGGACAGTGAAGGCTATTCTGATGTGGTCTCAGGTGGAACCGAGGAGCAAGATATTGGAAACTAGAGAAAAAGCTGTCCTCGTTACAAACCAGCAAAGAACTTGGCAGGACCATGTCCATGCTGAGGGCTCTATGGAATGCATAACTTAGCAACAAATTAGGATACCTGGCAGAGGAAATGTCTAAGCAGCAAAGCATTCAGGCTACTGCACAGCTACTTTTAACCACTTACATTAAGCTGAAAGAGGGAAAAATGACTTAAAGATGGGATTTATGATCAAAAGAGAAGCAAAGTGGAGAGATTTGGAAAACTCTCAGCCTGGCCATGTGAAGAGTGGAAAAGCATGTTCCAGAGAGGAAACCAGGAGTGTGGCAGCGACTGCTCGGTAAGATTAGTACAGAGAGAAAGGATCGACAGGAAAATGGCAAAAAGACCCCACAGGCATTTCAAAGACCTTCAAGACTGCACCTCCCATCACAGGCCCAGAGGCCTAGGAGAACAAAATGGTTTGGAGGCAGGCTGGGGCGCCCTTCATGGGCTGGTTGCCCAGGGCCCCTGGGGTCTCTGTTCCCTGCATTCTGGCACAGCCAGGATCCTCAGCTACCCTAGCTGTGGCTTAAGCAGCCCCAGGTGCAGCTGAGCCCACTGCTCCAGAAGATACAAGCTGTAAACCTGGGTGGCATAAGCCCTGGCAGCGTCCATGCCATGCTAATTCTTCAGGCTCACAGAAGGCAAGCGCTGGGAAGTATGGCGGCCTCCATGTAGATTTCAAAGGGTGTACTAGGGGGCCCAGGCAGAGACTCATCACAGGATTGGAGCCACTGCAGAGAGCTCCCTAATGCCTAGTGGAGCTATAGCAGCAAGACCACCACCAAGACCCAGAACCATAGAGATACCAGTGTGCAATGCCAGGCTGGGAGAGCTGAAGCATGAGTGGGCCCAGTAAAGCCATGGGGTTGGGGCTGCCCGAGGCCTTGGGGGCCAACCCCCACCCTGTAGGTCCAGGAAGCAGCACGTGGAGTGAAAAATCATTCTAGACTCTTAAGATTTAATGTCTGTTCTATTGGGTTTTGGACTGACTTGAGACTCGTTGCCCCTTTCTTCTTGCCTATTTCTCCTTATGAAATGGGAATGTCTGTCCTGGGCCAGTCCTGCCATTGTATCTGGAAGGAGAATGTTTGATTTCACAGGCTCACAGCTGGAGGGAATTTGCCTCAGGATGAATCGTGTCTTGAGTCTCATGCGTAGCTGATTCAAATGGGATTCTGGACTTTGGACTTACGAGTTGGTGCTGGAATGAGTTAAGGTGAGTTAAGACTTGGAGCTATCGGGATAGAATGAATGTATTTTGTATACGAGAAAAACATGAATTAAGAGGTCCAAGGGGGGAATGTTGTGATCTGAATGTCTCCCAAATTTCATTTGTTGGAAACTTAATCCCCAAACTCCCATGTTGACTGAAAGTGGGCCTTTGGGAGGTAATTAGAAATAGATAAGGTCATCACAGTGGGGCCCCCATGCGGGGACTGGTGGCTTTATAAGAAGAAGAAGAGAGACCTGAGCTGACAGGCTTCTGCTCTCTCACCCTGTGCCACGTCATGACGCAGCCCGAAGGCCCTCCCCAGAGGCCCTGGGACTTCCCAGCCTCCAGAACTCTGAGCCCAATAAGCCTCCGCCGTTTGTAAATTACCCACTCTGTAGTATTCCGTTACAGCGATAGAATCGGAGTAAGACAGTTTCTTTATATGGCAAAGGGGGTGTCTTTGCAGGTGGGATTGAGGGTTTTGAGATGAGGAGGTTGTCCTGGATTGTCACGGTGAGGCCTGTGCGTAATCACACGTGTCCTCATAGGGAGAGGCAGACAGAGGAGGTGACCACACCGACCACATGCACTGAGAAGACATGAAGACAGCGGGGAGGGCTTGGAAGAGGCCGGCCTTGAAGATTGGAGTGACGTGGCCACAAGCCAAGGACGGCGGGCAGCAGGCGGAGGCTGGAAGAGGCAAGGAACAGAGTCTGCCCCAGAGCCTCGGAGGGAGCGTGGCCCTGCAGACACCGTGATCGCTGTCCGGCGATGCGGCCTGCGGGCGTCTGGCCTCCAGAACCGTGACAGAAGAAGACCCTGTTGTTTGTGGTAACTTGTTACGACGGGAAACAAACGCACTGTCCCTTACTGTGCTTTCCCAATCGCCAGCACACGTTCTTTTTATTTGGTCTGTGTCATTCCCACCTGGAAGGTAAGCTCCATGGCAGGAGTTTTTACTTATTTATTTATTTGTTTGTTTTTTGAGACAGAGTCTCGCTTTGTTGCCCAGGCTAGAGTGAGTGCCGTGGCATCAGCCTAGCTCACAGCAACCTCAAACTCCTGGGCTCAAGCAATCCTCCTGCCTCAGCCTCCCGAGTAGCTGGGACTACAGGCATGCGCCACCATGCCCGGCTAATTTTTTTTTCTATATCTATTAGTTGGCCAATTAATTTCTTTCTATTTATAGTAGAGACGGGGTCTCGCTCTTGTTCAGGCTAGTTTCGAACTCCTGACCTTGAGCAATCTGCCTGCCTTGGCCTCCCAGAGAGCTAGGATTACAGGTGTGAGCCACCACACCCGGCCTCATGGCAGGAGTTTTAAATGCCTCGTTTCTCACTGCACCCCAGGGGCCATGAGTGAATGAACCAGTACATTTTCATTTTTCAATAGCAATAAAAACTTTCATATGAATGTGGGCCTTAGGGGTATGCTTAGAAAAAAAATCCCAAGGAAATGCACCCCAAATTCCTGCCAGCACTTCCCACCAGGAATGGAACCACAGAAAACGTCACATTCTACGGTAGGCACTTGTGAGGGATTTAAGAACCTAAAATTTTACAAAAAAATGGAATGAAAAAGGCAAATCATGAAGAGGGAAGGAGCACCATTTTTTTCCACCAGATCAATTCCCCCTGGAGTTGGGGTCAGAAGAACATTTGCTTGAGTGAAAGTCACCGGTGGGAAGGAGGAAGCCTCGCTAGGCAATCCAGTTCCCACCACGCGACCAAGAGCATCCACCCGCCTCTGATTCAGATCAGAGAAGGAACCCGGGAGCTCTCGGGCCGTGTAGACAGCGAGAGTTTGGCTCCTACGTGCGGGTCTTGCTGACGGGTGCGGCTCTGCTTCATGGCCAACCAGCTCTGTGCCAGGCACTGGGGACTGATTTTAACCCGCTTGGGAAAATCTCAAGATGGTGCCAGTCCCCGATTTATGGGGGAGGAGATTGAGACTCAGAGAGGGGGCTTGCTCGGCGTGACACAGCTGGAAGGCGGCAGAGCTGAGAGTGGGTCTCGGTCTGCGCCAACCCTTCTCAAGAGGCCACGCGATGGCCCCTCCCGTGGGAGCCTGTCACCTCAGGCAATGCTCCACTTGGCCATTCTTGAGCCCTGGGACCCTGGGGTCCCCTCCCTTCACCAGTCTCTTCAAAATGCGTACGGGAGCTCCGGGCAGCCTCCCTCAACGCCAGGCAAACATTGCCACCTGGCGGGAGACCGGAACACTACAGCTGCGGTCACCAACCCCGGTCCTTGGCCAGTGCAGGTCCGTGGCCGTAGGGAACCCGGCCGTCACCACCCGAGCTCCACGCCTCACCCCCACCCCGCTCCGTCCGTGGAAAAACTGTCTTCCATGAAACCAGTACCTGGAGCCAAAAAGGCTGGGGACCACTGCACTACAGGAGTTAGCATACGCCACTGGGAAATGGTCCCTGGATCCCATGAGATTCGAGGCCAAGGGCAGACTTGTTTTCTTTGAATTCATAAGAGGGGTGGAAGAGAAGGCCCGGTATGGTGTCACAGCTGAAAATCAGAGGGCTGGGCCTGCCTGGGTGCTTCTGGCATGAACCCAGGCTTTGGGGCTGCCCGCCAGTATGGCACGCCAGTCCTCCCCACAGTACCCTGCCAAGAGATCATTGAGCCTGGGCTTGAACGCCTCCAGGGATGGGGAGCTCACTCTCTGTGGTCTTCATTACAAAGTTCTTCCTGCTCTCTCCTTGTCACACCCATGCTTTCCTTTCCTCCTGCCCCCCATGAAGAGCTCGTCCAGCTCCTGCTCTCTCTGACAGCCCTCCAGAAGATCAAAAGAAGCTCCACACTTCTCTTGAGGACTGAGTGTCCTTGGTCCAGGAGTCTGGCCGTCTTCTCTAAGGTGAGGCCCCTTGGCTCTTCCTGGCCTGTGAGTGCTGGTGGTTGGGGGCAGGGAATGAGGGGCAGGGACACCCCCATTTTGCTGTTTCCTCCAGCTCGCATGCTCTTCCCCCAACACTTGCCATGGCTGGAGTCTTCTCACTACTCAGGGCTCAGCTCAGCTGTCACCTTCTCAGTGAGGCCTTCTCTGACCACCCTGGGCTAAAACCTCCCCAAGCACACCCTCTACCATCTCCCCGTTTGATAATCCTTGGAGACCTTCTGCTAGCTAAAATCACACTGTGTGTTTGCAGCCTGTCCCGCCTCCTCCCCCAGCCTGACCGTGAACTCCACAGGTCCAGGCTTTTGTCCGCTGTGCCGGGTGTTGCATCCAGAGCATGGGACACAGCAATTGGCATCACTTGCTCCTCAGCGGGACAGGCAGGGAGGCAGGCCAAGGTCTCCCCTGGGCCCCTCCAACAGCAGAGCCCGAGAAGGATCTGAGGACAAATCATTAATTTGGGAGACTGTCATGGGACGAATTGTGTCCTTCCAAATTCTTATGTTGGAGTCCTAACCCCTAGGACCTCAGAAGTACAGTCACCCCTTGCTATCCTCAGGGGCTTGGTTCCAGGACCCCTCAGATACCAAAGCCCACAGGTGCTCACGTCCTGGTAGAAAACAGTGCATTATTGTCATATAACCCATGCACATCCTCCGCTGTACTTTAAATCATCTCTGGCTTACTTATAATAACGAAGACAGTGTAAATGCTACCAAAGCAGTTGTCATACTATACTGTTTTTCATTTGTATTATTTTTTATTGCTGTATTGTTATTGTTATTTTCATTTTTTGGAATATCTTCTATATGAAGTTGGTTTGACCCGTGGATACGGAGGGCCAACTGTAAGCTTATTTGGAGACAGGGTCTTTATAGAGTTAAATGTTAACACTGAAATTAAAATGAGGTCGGTAGGGTAGTCCTTATCCAATATGACTGGCGTCCCTATAAAAAGGGAAAATTGGGACGCAGACATGCGGAGAGGGAGGAGGAGGTGCAGAGACTCAGGGAGAAGACGGCCACCCACATGCCAAGGAGAGGCCTGGAACGGACCCTCCCTGCACACCCCCAGAAGGAGCCCGCCCTGTTAACACCGTGGCCTTGGACTTCTGGCCTCCAGGCTATGGGACAGCAAGGTTCTGCTGTCAGAGCCCCCAGCCTGTGGTACTTTGTTACATAGCGCTAGCAGACTAGCACAGCACCCACAGCACCTGCTACAGCCAGGGGTTTGGGTCCCCCTTTGCGCCAAGCCTGGGGCTGGGAGTGGCTTTTCCATGGTCACTCAGAACCAGGCAGGCCACAGACCAGGTCTCTGAACTCAAGACAGGGCTCAAGTCCCCATCCGAACCTTCCCACCCCCAGACACCAGGGCCCGACCCATGGGCCCCCGGCCAAAAGCAGGACGGAAGACGCGGCCTCGCTGTAGTGGCGTGGGGAGGAGGGTGCCCGTGCTCGTGCCCTCCTCTCGGCTTCGTGGGGGGCAGGGGAGGAAGTGGGGCCTTTGGGACGCCTGGGGGCAAAGCTGGGCTTCGCAGACAGAGCACCACCCACCAACCCAGACGTGCCAGCCATGAAACCCCACGTGGGGGTCTGGCCAGGACAGCGGCTCAGGGACAGCCTGGAGCTCAGCGTCCTACGGGCGAGGGGGCGTGCAGGCGGGCAACAGTGGGGAAGCGTGCTTGCTCCTGGACGGAGCGATGCCTCGGAGGCTGTGGGAAGCCCGAGGAGGCCCCAACCAGGCCGGAGGGTCAGGGAAGTCTTCCTGGAGGAGGTGACTGACCCTGGCATGAAGTTCTGAAAGACAAGGAAGCATTAATGCCGCAGTGCGAGCAACTTCCCACCCGCCAGGTGGTGATAAGGAATAATGGAAATAGGTGTCGGGGCATGTGGAGGAACTGGAAACCCCGTACTCTGGTGGCAGATGTGGAAAACGGCAGCTGCTGCAGAAAACAGTGTGTTGGGCTCTCAAAAGCTAAACACAGAGTGACCGTGTGGCCCAGCGATCCCACTGCTAGCTACACACCCGAGAGAACTGACGTCCACACAGAACCTTGTGCGGGAATGTTCACGGCAGCATTATTTGTAACAGTCCAAAGTGGAAACAGCCCAGACGACCATCGGTGGCTGAACGGGTAACAAAACGTGGTGCGGCCGCACAGTGGAGTTATTCAACCTTTAAAAGGAAAGAAGGTAAAAAGAAAAAAAGGACTGAAGTCCTGAGCCATGCTGCCACGTGGGTGAACCTGCACGAAGGCGTAGGACCCTGCTCACGAGGAACGTCCAGAAGAGACGGAAATAGACTCCTGGCTGCGGGGGGCTGGGGGCAGGGGAAATGGGGAGCTTCCGGTTTTGTCTTTGGGGTGAGGAAAATGTTCTGGAACTAGATAGTGGTGGTTGCACAACATCGTAAACATCCCCAAAAGTGCTGAATTGTATACTTTAAAATGACTCTAATAGTGAATTTTATGTTACGTGAAATTTGCCCCCTTTAAAAATTTAAGAAAGAAAGAAGAATGAGTTAGCCGGCAGAGAAAAGGAGAAAGAGGACACCAGGCAGGCGAAAGGCCCGCAGGGAAGCCTGAAGCTGCACGACACCTTCCAGAAACGGCCAACCACCCAGAGCGCTGGCGAGAGAGCAGGCTGGGTGCAGCCCTGAGTGCCAGGAAAGGGCTTTAGACTTTAACCTGATGCCTGGGGCAGCCCAGGGTGGGCTTTGAGCAGGGGAATGGAGTGGCTGAAAGG